TGTGTATGTGCAGAAGAGCATGTGCAAGTGAGTGTGGATGTGTGTGAGTGCATGTACATTGTGTGGATGTGGGCATAGGAGTGTGAGCACATTGGAGCAAGAGGATATCTGAGTGTCTGTGGGTATTGGTGTGAGTGTGTGTGTGCGTGCACTTGTGTGTTCTGTCTAGAGCAGTGGGGTTTGTCTGAAGGATGGTGGTAGGCAATGGCTTGTCCTCAGCGCTCCCAGGGAAGGGGCTTGCCATTTGCCGTGGCTCCCAGCTTTGGAATCAGGCAAGGATGCCACCAAGTAGCTGGTGTCAAGGGAGGCACCCAGATGGCTCTCTCTGTGGGTTTGATCTCTCTCCTCATTGGCTCCTTTCTCTCTCCAGCACGTTCCTTGGTTTGTTAACATAGCAAAGAAAATATGCTCTTTGTATACTATTCAGTTCGCTTACACATCAGTCAGGTTGCATTCTGTAGCTCGACACTACAAAGGGCACACTGAAATGAGGTTGGTCTTACTCGTTTCTCTAAAAGGAAGGCCTTTATGCATGTTTCAGGATTTTGTCAAGCAATGTCCCTCGGTTTAATGAAGCCTAATCTAGAAATATGATTCACTTTCCCATTTAGAATGAAAGCTGCGACTTTCGGACATAGCTGTGAGCTCCCAACAGCAGTGCCTGCCAGAGCCGTGACCCGGCAGGGAACCGAATGTAATTTGTTTCCCCCCAGGGGGACGTGGCCAGCAGAGATTGCCCTCCTTAATGCCGCACGGACAGTTCTTCCCCGAATGTGACACAAGCTAACTTGAGTTTCAGATGCCATCCTGAAAGAACACCGTGCCTAATTTGTTGCAATTTTTAATCAGTCTCCTGTTGCCCTCTCCAACTACAGTTTTTAACTGTCTTCAGAAAAGGAGTAAATTATTGATCTTTCTTCGTGCACGTGATTCAGATGTGTGCATTTGCATTTAAACTATTTTAGGGAGTAGTGGAAATATGGTTTCCCCGCCCTGGCTGAGGCAAGAGGGTAGAATTAAGATGTCAGTTGGAAATAGGTAGTGTGAAAAATCATTAGTGTGTCCCTGTATCCTGTGCAATGTGACATTAATTGGTTATTCTGTCATCCTTATTGGGAAAAATAACAGCAGCATTCAATTCATTTCTTTGTCCCAGCTTCTGAGTAATGTCCTTTGCAAATATAAGGAACTGGGTGCGTGTAGGAAGCTGACTCTAGGAGCGAGGAAGGCTGACAGGTTCCCAAAAGATAAGCGGATAGAGGCAGTGGGGGAGAGGCGGTAAGCCCTTCCTCCCTTCCTTCGAAGCCCATTCAGGCGTCCCCTGGTTTCTCTGCCCCCCCCCCCCCCCCCCCGTGTGAAGGTGGCGTGTCTAATAGTGGGAGAGGCCATCGGTCTGTGGGGTGGAGGCTGGGGGGCCACACCACGTGCAATAGTTGGAGCCAAGTTTTCCTTCCTGCACCCGTGAGGATTATGGCTGTGACGTGCCAGGAGCCGTGTCTGCACAGGGACGGCCACCGTGGGCCACAGTGACGTTAAATAGAGATCGGGCTGGGACCATTGACTCCTAAAAAGAAGGCAGGTCAGCACTTAAATAACTTGACCGTTGGTGGCTCAGCAATGACCCTCGCTCCTCTCTCGTGGAAGGACTTTGGTTCTCGTCCCATGTCAAGGAGTAAGAGCAGCTTCTAAGAGGAAGGATCTGAAAATACAAGTTCGGGAGATTTTGGGTGGGTTCGTGGGGCCAGCTGCTGTGACGGTCCTTGGTCTTAGTGGCCACATGAAACAGAACTGCTGCTTACTCAGGCAGCGGCGTCAGGTGGGTGTTCCTCAGCAGGTGACACTTTTCACAGGGTGATTCGGGGACACGGGCACCTTCCTTTTTGTGCCTTGGTCATACTGGTGGTGGGGGTCTCCATTCCACTGCGGGTGTGAAAGTGCGTGCGAGCAAGTGGGTACACGTGTCTGCCTGTGTGTCACGGGCCCGGCCTGCGTTATTGCTGTTCATACTCTGCTAAAGCTCAGTCAGACGGCCACATCCTAACTACAAGAGAAGCTGGAAATACGGGGCTGGGAGAAAGGAGGTTTACAGTTGTGAGTACGTGAAACAGTTTATTCTTGTATTGTTTATTAATTATTGAATTACTTCCCATAGGAACAACTGTAAACCTACTTTTGCCCCACCCCGTGTATTCTGGCCGTGTGTCCTGGCAGCCGAGGACAGGGATTTGGGGATGACCCCCTAGGTTAGGCCAGTAGTTCTCGGACTCAGAGCTGCCTCGGGGTCCCCTGGCAGCTGGTTACAGCCCAGCTTCCTGGGCCCCTTTCTCAGTTTCTGATCCTGCGGGTTTTGGGCAGGGCCCCAGAGGTGACGTTTCTAACAAGTTCCCAGGCAGTGTTGATCCCAATGGGCTGCATCACACTTTGGACAGTCCTGGTTGACGTCTGACTCTTTTGTCTTGATGTATTCATGCTAACGGTGAAAACCAGAAGTACGTCTTCATTATGGTGACTCAGCAGATAGGAGGGAAAGAAAGGGGTAGAACAGGTAGTTTTGGTCAGGCCATTTGGAATGTTAGAAATCATAAAGGTGGGTGATTTCTGAGGGAAATTGGAGTTTGGGAGGCTGGGGCCCTGGGCGGGCAGGCAGGTGCCAGTGAGGTGGCTGCACCTTGCTCTGTGGGAGGGGACCTGAGTGGCCCGGACAGGAGCTTTCCGCTGTTAGCTCTGTGGGACGGGAAGGTTTGGGGAAGAAAGTAGCTAAGTAGGTACGGGAGAGGTGACAAGGTGACAAGGAGGGACTTCCATGGGAAGCAGAGGCGAGTTGGTGGCTGGTGCAGCCGACGGGGCCTGGGCCTCGGCCTCACACACGGACCCGCGGGGCTGGCGTTTCGAGTGTAAGTCTCGGAGATGTGCGAAGCGGGGGTAAAAGGCACCTGTTAGGTTGCTGTGAGAATGAATTAGGTCCTTCATGGACCTTCTTGGTTCCTGGTGCTTATAGGTTAAAAAAAATTCCGCAGTTTTATTTAAGATGTTAGCTCCAAACAACTTCATACAGGTTTATGTCCTAACAACTCAGTCCCAACACCATAGACAAAACACAAAAAGAAGTATGTTTTGACCTTTTTGTTAGATAAGCACGGTACTCATTGGTGGGATGGGCGCCCCTGTGGGTGCTGCGTGGCTCCGCAAGCCTCGGAGCCACGTGGGGCGCCATTGCCCCCTCTTCCTATTCCACGTGGACGTGGGCTTTTATTCCCAGGACTGGCAGAAAACCCAGCTTTGCCACGAAACACTGTCATTGTAAGGGTGTAGTACAAAGTCTAATGTCCAGACTGCGAACCCCACCAGAGTTAGTCGTGAGCATGGTACTGACCTAGGCCGAGGATCACTGCGTCTCCCTCAAACGTAAAACGTTCCTCAGTGTCCTGTGAGTTCACTGTAGTGACTCCCAGGAACTTTGGTGCACAGGTTGGAAATTGTGGAATTTAGTAGTTTTTTCATTCATTCATTCATTCATTCATTCATTCATTCATAAATGTTAACTGAGTGTCAACAAAGTGGCAGATGCTGTGCTGGGCACCGGGGGAGGGGACACTGGTCCCCTCTAAGCAGTGTAGAGTCAGTCTATCAAGGAAACTAGACACTGAATCAGATAATCCTGCAGGTGGAGACTCCTGTTGGGGCCACAGCGAGGCAGGATCGTTTTAAGGTGCTGTGAGGCCTTGCGGGTGGGATACTGACCTGGTCAGGAGAAACTTTCTCAGGTCAGGGGTGCTTGAGTTGTTCCTGAAGGCTGAGAAGTGAACATGGCGAAAAGGGGAGGAAGTGTATTCTGGGCAGGTATTTCGCAAGCCGTCCCGAAGGACTTGCTGTTCCCCCAGCCCCCCTAAGGTGGATTGTGGTTGCTTTGTGACTAGCGTGTAGCTTGTGTGTGCCACACTTGTTGGGCAGCATCGGAACCGTTTGAGACTAACCCACTGATCATGCAGCTGGATGTTGAAGCAAAGCCAGATGGCAGGGAAAGTTTCAAAAACCCCTTGTGGACTGGTGACAGTTTGGGAACTGTCAACATTTGTGGATCACACTTTGAGTACCTGCTCCAGGCAGGGGGCACAGCATGAGCAAAGGTCCTGTGGTGGGAGTCAGCTGGCAACTAGGAAGGAGGGGAGAAGGTGAGAAGTGGGAAGAGTTAGGGGCTGTACGAGGCATCTAGGCCACAGAAGAAACTTTTAAAGACACTTCTGTCCTGGTGGAGAAAGGGGACTTTGTCCTAACTACTTCTAAGGGTGTAGATGGAGGGTAGACAGAGGCCAGGTATTTGGCTACAAAGACTTATTAATTTAGGCAACTTGTAGTTGCCCATTTTTTTGGTTTTTGTTTTTGTTACCCTAGACATGGAGCCCAATGGCATTGCCCCTCCCAGAGTGAAGGAAGTTCTCATCTGTTTGCATGAAAAATGATAGCTGGAAGGGCCCCCCTGGAGTGTGCCAGGTGTCTGTGTAAGCACCACCAGTTCCCTGCCAGGTGACCCGCACGGAGCTGGCTTCCTCATGGCAACCATGCTCCTGGCTGGAAGTTCAAGGCCCAGCTTGTGGCCACCAGGGTGTAAAAGGGCCTCTCGTGGAGATGTAGCGAATTCCAGCTGTGCCCAGGAAGTCATAAGGAGCATGCCAACAGCCTGTGTCCTGGTACATCTGCTGTTCTGAGGTTTACTGTGGTATCTGTGGGCACCGAGCGAAGTGGTGGGCATTGCACCAAATCCTGGATGGACCTGCCTCTTTCCTGCAGAGCCCACCCCAGGCTCCATTCTGACTCAGGAATCAGGTGTTCTCTCCTGCCTCGGGCTGGTCTCGGAGGGCACCTGTCCAGCACATTCAGTTTCCAGCTTCCTGGATTTGGAGCTTCGATGTCAGTGGAAGGATCCCTTTCCTTTTCTTCCTTGCTGTGAGCAGTGGGCTGGAGGAGAAAAGTGACGCGCTGCGGTTTCTCTGCTGTCACAGGTACTTCGTGCTGGACTTTGAGGCTGGCATCCTGCAGTATTTTGTGAATGAGCAGAGCAAGCACCAGAAGCCTCGAGGAGCCCTGTCTTTAGCTGGAGCCATCGTGTCCCTGAGCGACGAAGCTCCCCACATGCTGGTGGTGTATTCTGCCAACGGAGAGATGTATAAACTGAGAGGTATGGTCTTCTGCTGCTGCCTTCTCAGACAGGCCTCGTGGGCTACACGGTTCATAATTACCATGGTGATGGCTCTCTGGTTGTTGGATTTTTTCAAAAATCATCATTAACAATTTGCTGTGTTTGATGACTTTGTGGTGACACAGTTGCTGCCTCTTTTACCCCAAGGGTGGGAAATGGCCTGCCATTAGGAATGGCTCGTTCTAATTGAGGAATCGAGGACAAAGGGAAGGTGATTGCAAAGCCAGCTGAGCCCTAGGACTTGGGCAGATTTCTCCTGTTAGCTCAGTGTGTGTTTCCTTCTTTGACCTTGGAGTTTGAATCTGTGCTATACTGTCCTGTGGGCACTTTGGGCTCTAAGGACAAAGCAAGCCTTTTAAGGGCCATTATGTCCTCCTCCCCCAAAGTTTCTTGAGAACCATCTCTTAGTAAACGGCCTCCTTCACGTACGTTTTATTTAATCTGTTATGAGCCTGGTGAGAGACCAACTGGTGTTGAGTGAGTTTCCTGTTGTGTGCTTTCTCCCCTTCTCTTTGCTTCTTGAAAACTGACGTGTGCCCTGCATCCTGATCACCAGTTGAGAGGGTCCAGCATCCGGCCACCCCCGTGGGCCCTGCCTGCCCCTCCCCCAAGCCACATGTGTCATGCAGCTTTTTCAGGAATGCCAGATTTGACTGTAGCAGCATAATTTGATTGCTAGATCATTCTTCCAGTGTTCTGTTACAGTTGCATTGCCAGAAAAACAGTCAGTTTTCTTCTAACGAAGTAACCAAACACTACAACTAAAGCCAACAAAAATCCAAAAATACACACACGCACACACAGAGTCAATGTTATTTATTTATTAAAGTCTGAGGCAAAGTAGTATGTATTAAGCGTTAGGAGGTAGTTGGTAATTGTGCATTCTTATGACATTTTTCTCTGCCCAAGCAAAGGCTAAGAACAAAGAAAAGGCCTCTTGTTACTTCTCCTTGACCCCAGGAACGGACCAGGACAGGTGCCCTCTGCAAAGCCCTGACCGAGGAGGGCCTTGATCGCTCACCTCTCAGCCTGTTGCACTGCTCTGCCTCCAAGTTTCCTCCCAAGAGATGGAATAAGCTAGTGTTTCCTTATTATCTATACAGAAATCATCTTCTAGAGTCATAAAACAGTCCAGAAGCCTGTGACATAAAAATGTCTGTAGTTGAAGAAGAAAGTTTTTCAGTTTGGGGGAAATGTGCTAAGATTCATGTTCTTTTTTGAGATTTAGGCAGTGTGCTTTCCAGCTGGCTAGATTTATATGGTCCTTGGTTTTGCTTTGCTGTTTATTGCTTAATAAATTGTTAGAGCAGAAATAATAGCAGGGGGAAGACTTAATGTCATTTCCCCCCTCCCCCTGCCTGTGGTTTATAAAATGACACAAACCCATACAGAGAAGCAAAATCCAGCCAAGTTGACGATTGAGCCATCTCATTTTGCCTTTGAGTTATTATTCTCTGGGTTATTAAGCACCAGGGTTGTTGTTTTTTAAGGGTAGTTTTAATTGCATATATAAAAGTTTCATTATCTGCACGAAATTATCACAAAAGCTAAATTAACTTAAACTTGGCAACTACAGAAAAGCTGGGTAAATTTCTGCATCTCTGTGGCTGGCTCTCAGCCCGTCCCACAAGGATCTGGGCGTCTGTTTCATTTCCCATCCCACCTACACACAGAGTGGAATCTTCATGTCATTAGCTGCACAGCTTTGGGGAGTGTTTTCAGTGCTGCGCCTTTGGACAGTTCTGTCACACACGGCAGCTAATTCTTTACAATCTCCTAAGAAACAGAGGCTCTGGTTTTTGCAAACTCCTTTGTCTTTGGAAGTTAAGTTCACCTGGTATTAACGCCTGTCCACAACTCTAGATTTATTCACCTACAAGATCAAGTTTGAAGGTTGGGTTTTATTGACAAATGGCACACCCCTTTTTGTAAACAGTTATTTCTAGGGGAATGTTCTGTTTTCTGCATTGTCAACATTTATGCAGTTAATATGATATTAAAACATTTATGTAGTTAATTGTTCACTTAGATTAAATATTTAAATTTTTATTGGAATGCATTATGTATCCGTAATATTTTAAGGAAATAGTTTTATGTGTTTTTTTGGGGGGGTGTTGATGAAAGGCTATGATGATGACGTTGACTTGTATGTTACTGTCTCTTCGGGGGAAACATGAGGATCTCCAAGGCAGCATTTGGTTTCTTGTTCTGTCCAATCCTAACAGGAATCCTTGAGAGCACATATTAAAGTGGTAATTCAACTGGATGCTCGTTTTGTAAATGCTAATAACTGCACCGTACAACGCTGGTAGATAACAGAGGCCCTGGAAGGCGTCCTTTGGTCCTCCTATTAGCCTCGCGTGGCAGAGACATTAAAAAATAATCGCGTTTTCCCTTCCGTGCTGCCTTGTTAAAGAAGCAGAAATGACTTTTTCCGAGAAGGTTTAAAAATGGCAAAATTGTTCTTGTAACAGATATTTCAGGATACATTTTTAATGTGGCTTAAGAGGGAATTTTCTGTTGAGATTTAGTGTAATTGGGGTTTTGTGGGGGGGGTTGGCATAAGTACAGGCTACTTGAGGATATCGAGATTTGTATTTGCTTTTCCTTCCTTCACCCTCTACCCTTCACTCCCTTTGCCAGCACCCCCCCGCCTCCCCCCCCCCCCAATTTAGGTGGGTGTAGAAATAGGTTGGATGTGTTTTGGAACAGTCTCTGTAAGTGTTTCTTTCTCTATTTTAGCTGCTGATGCAAAAGAGAGACAGTTTTGGGTGACTCAGCTTCGCGCTTGTGCCAAATACCACATGGAGACGAATTCTAAGGTGAGTAGCCGTGGGGAAGTGAGGAGGCTGTCCAATACCTCGGAAGGTGATCCTTCAGCCCAAGTCTGTTTCTTTGGGGAAGTCGTTTTTCATGTTATTTTTAAAAGTTATACCCCGTAGTGGAATTCATGCTTGCCCCACTACATTAACATGTGAGCCAAGAGAACAGTGGCAGGATTTGCTTGTGGGTAGGATGAAGAGGCAGGCAGGCACTTTCTTGGAACTGATTCTGCAAAGACACTTCGATTGCTTTCTGTGTTGTCAATTTGGGCAGCTGTTAATTGGTCTGTTGAGAAGCTGGCGTGGATGATTTCATTGCGTGGAGCCAGAGTAGTCAGATTTACTGTTCACGAGGACTCCCTGTTGTCGCTAACCCTTAAATAAAACCTAGACCCCCCAGATTGATTAAGTGCTCAGCCAGGCGCTTCTGCATTCTGAGTGCGTAAAAACGTTCTCCGGTAATTTGGCATCCAAGTATGAATTATTTTCTCCTCAGGACTTGGGATGAGATCTCGGATCAGATATAGGGAGATAGAAGGTTGGCATTTTCATGGATTATTCAAAGGCTTTCCAGTCATTAAAATACAGGAAATCACTGCAAAAATGAATTGATTCAGGGCAATAAATATTAATTTTAATGTTCAAAAGCCTACCCCTTTTATGTCATTAGTTCAGGTTTATTTAGTTATAAATAAACTGCAGGGTTTTTTTCCGTATTCTGTGCATCCGCTAGAAAGAGCCACACTGGAAATTTCTGATGACTCCTTTGACTGTAACCTGTCTGCTATCTTACTCGGGGCCCTGGGAGACGTCTTGCTTAGTTCAGACCTCCCTGTTCTGCCTGCAAATGCAACCTGAGATGGTTTCTTCACTGGACTTTGTTCATTTTTTTTCTTTCTAGAGACATTTCTTTTCCTTGATTTGCTCACTACAGTTGCTCTCAGCCCAATGCCCCTCTAGACTTGCCCCAAATAGAATCTGGGGAATCATAGGACGCTACTTCTAAAGCTTTTCCCTGCTGTGACGTCCTTTATTTTACAGGAATTGTAGTAGGAGTTGTGGAGATTTCATCAGTATGTTATGAATATGTAGGCGGGGTGGTTACAATTTTTTATGTGTCTTTTTACTTTTTATAAAACAGGAATGAAATAAGGACACGTTTCCACCATTGCCATGTACGATTATTAGAGATAATTGCTCTTAAGCTATTTCATTCTATTAAGGCGTGTGTTAGTATGTGTGTGTGTGTATCTATAGCTGTATCTCTACCTATGTCTATTTTTTAATACAAATGGGATCGTATTATGCATATGATCCCATTATGCATATGCATACTGGTTTTCTCACCGCACCCCTCCCCCCCCCGCCTTACTAATATATTTTGGAGATTCCCTATTAGACGCATGGCTGTCTGTCACGCTCACTTTGGTTGTCAGTGCCCCGCTGATGACACACAGGGTTTTTGTTGTTGTGCATAGTGGCCGAACGTAAACATATTTTTGTATCTCTAAGTGTGTGTGTGTGTGTGTGTGTGTGTGTGTGAATTTATAGCAGTGGAATTGTTGGGTCATAAATGTCTTCTGCATTTTTATAGATATTGCTGAACCGTCTTCTCCAAAAGTTGTCCTAGTCGGCCCTCCAGTCAGTTATGGGTCTCCCTCCACAACTGTGGCTCCTCCTAACATTTAGATTTTGGTAATCTCCCAGGTAAACAATGGGTCCCCCATTATTTTCATTTTCACTTCCAGAGTCATGACCGGGGCTGAGTATGTTTTCAGGTGTTTATTGGCCACCTATCTTTCTTTTATGTGGACTGCCAGTTTGCATTTTTCAGCCCAGTTTTCTATTGAGTTCATCTTTTTCTTCTCGGTTGGCAGCAGCTGTGTGTGTATTAAATGTATTTGTCCTGTGACTGTCATTTTTGGACTGTAGATGTTTTCTCCTAGTAGGTCATTTGTATTTCGACTTTGAATATCTATTTTTGCTATGCAAAATATTTAATTTTTTGTGGGCAAAGTTATTTTCATTTTTAGCTTTTGGTTTTGCATCATGTAAAAAGGGACTCCTCTGCTCAAAACTATGAAAAACATTCTTCCAGTGAATTTGTATCGGGTTGGCCAAAAAGTCCATTTAGTTTTTTCTGTATGATGGCTCTAGCAGTGCAGAAGCCAGTAGCGGGAGCCAGCTGGCGTACTCAAAATATCAAAATCAGTACAGTCACTGGTACATATGAAAAACATGTCTTCTGTTTTACTGAAAAAACGAAATGGACCTTTTGGCCAAGCCAGTAGTTTATCACGTTTAAATCACTGATTCATCTGGAAGTTCTGTGGAGTGCCAAAATTCAGGTAGGGGGCAACTCATTTAGTGCCCTGGTGTTTTGACGAATCACTGGGGACAGGGAAAGAAAAAGATATCCATCCTAATGGTAGTAAGAGACAGGGACATTTAAAGACATAGAATTTGAAGATTCTCTGGAGGAGAATTTGATCTCCTGATGTATTCTCTGGGTAGTTTCAAGAATATGATGAATCCATTAATATTAGAACCAAAATAAATAACAGTTTAGCTATTACGGCCTCTAGGATTCCTTCTTGGAGAACTGGAGGTGAAGATTGCTACCATCACTCATTTATGGCGTAGTTATCATGATCAATTAGGGAATAAGACTTTGAAAATTGTGAACAGACCTCGTCATTCAGCAGAAGCCTTCTGAAGTCCAGAGTTGGTTAGGCAGAAGTTAGTAGTGAAAATGAAGTGAGGCTTAAAGTGAATATAAACTCGATCTCCAGGTGACTGTTGGATGGCTGCTTGCTTGGCATCATGGTCGTTAGGAATTCGTGCTGCGCCTTCTCTTGCCATGTTCTTCACTCTCTCGGCTGGGCGGGCCCCTCCCCAGGTGAGTGTTGTGAATAGTCTCCCTGCTGCTACTTGGAATTTTACCTTATGAAAACTTGAGAAGGTGCTGTCATTCATTACACTTGAGTGGGCATCGCGGGGTAAGGAGATTCACCGAACTCTGGAGCTGCACAGAGCTTTACAGGCGACCCTTGTGTGTGATGTAACCTTACTCAAGGTGGACGTTTTGGGCAGGTCCCTCAAAGACTTTGAACTGCAAGCATCTTCTGGTTGAGTATATGCACGTTTCAATTCATGACATTCTGGTTTAGAAGAAATATTGTAGGGTGCAGAGTGAGAAGGTCTGCATTGAAATCCCTGCTCTGCCCTTTATGTGTTGAACATACCTGCTCAGTTCCCCTGTATTCTTTTTTATTTTCTATACTCACCTTTAAATCTTTTTTAAATTTATTGATTTTAGGAAAGGGGGAGGGAGGGAGGGAGACAGATGGCACAGGGATTGTGTGTGTGTGTAGGGAGAGAGAGAGAGAACCATCAAATTGTTGTTCCACTTACTTATGCATTCATTCATTGGTTGATTCTTATATGTGCCCTGACCGGGGATTGAACTCAGTATCTTGGTGTACCAAGACGATGCTCTAATCAACTGAGCTACCTGTCCAGGCCTCTGTCCTCACCTTTGAAGTGGTGACATCTGTCTCCAACAAATTGTCACATGTCTTGCTCAAGCAAGGCAATGCATGTGAAAGCCAGTTGCTGACATGAAGCATCAGGAGGAATGAGGGGCTCAGTAGCACATTTTCAGTGAGACTGCTGCTTGGAAGTCCAGCATCTCGGCCCCCTGGAGCCCTGGCCAACCCTCAAAAAACAAAAAAAAAACCAGGCATGCTTTTTAATCCCTTTGTGGTTATGTGTCTGTTTTCAGATAGACTCCATTATTTTCTTTTTAAAAATTTTTTATTTAATTATTTTTTCAAGTACATTTTTTTGTCTATGTCTCCCATCCCAGCCCCCCGCCCCGTCTCCCCACCTCCCTCCCATTTCCTCCCCCCCCAGTCCTCATCCCTGTGTCTTTCATACTTGTTCCTCAAAATCCCTCCCCATTTTTCCCCTTAAATTCCCTTCCCTCTCCCCTCTGTTCACTGCCCACTTGTTCTCTATTTCAGTGTCTTTGTTTTTATTCTGCTTGCTTGTTTGTTTTGTTGTTTAGCTTCCTGTCAAAGGTGAGATCATATGGTGTTTGTCTTTCAACACTTGGCTTATTTCACTTAGCATAATGCTTTCTAGTTCCATCCATGTTGTTGCAAAGGGTAGTAGCTCCTTCTTCCTCTCAGCTGCATAGAATTCCATTGTGTATATGTACTACAATTTTTGGATCCATTCATTTACTGATGGGCACCTAGGTTGCTTCCAACTCTTGGCTATTGTAAATTGTGCTGCTATGAACATTGTGGTGCATAGGTTCTTTGAAATTGATGTTTTAGGATTCTTGGGATATAATCCTAGCAGTGGAATTGCTGGGTCAAAAGGCAGGTCGATTTTTATTTTTCTGAGAAAATTCCATACTGTTCCATAATGGTTGTACTAGTCTGCAATCCCACCAACAGTGAACTAAGGTCCCCTTTTCCCCACAACCTCTCTAACATTTGTTGTTTGTTGCTTTGTTTATTATAGCCATCCTGACTGGTGTAAAGTGGTATCTCATTGTGGTTTTAATTTGCATCTCTCTGATAGCTAACGATACTGAGCATCTCTTCATGTGTCTCTGGATATTCTGTATGTCCTCTTTGGAGAAGTGTCTGTTCAAGTCCTTTTCCCATTTTTTAATTGGGTTAGATGTCTTCCTAGAGTGGATACTCCATTATTTTCAAATGGACACATCAGAGAACTCAAGGTCATTCAAAATCAACAGAAGCCAGTATTTGGGGAAGTCAGGCTCTTATGAATAGTGCTGTTTTTCAAATTATTTTTGACCTGTGTGAAAACTGGGTAATGAAGCCACTGGTCAAGTGATTAGAAATCATTTAAAGGGCATCAAATTTTGAAGATTATAATTTCATCGGCTTTCATCTAAGAGAATTTTTGAAGACTAAACTTGATAGAAACTTACTGTATTTTCAGTATTTCTTTCTTTCTTTTTT